GAATTATTTTCAAATGATAAATTTGGTATTTGTAGCGAATTATACTCTTCTGGAAGAACTAGACTTTTGCACTTTAATAAGAATAGAATATTTTCTAAAAGCCTTAGGTCACAAAGAATCACAGGAAGAGGTGGAATATTTGGAAGGTCTTGCTTAAGGGATGTTTTCCCCACCTTCATTGAATGTATTGAAGCTTCCTGGGGTCACTGTGAAGTCAAAAGCTTTATTCTAGAAATAAGAATTGTGGTCTCTCAAGAGTAGATACTATCAAAATTGTTTTGTCATGCTGATAGCTGGGCATTCTGGGCAGTAAATTTCTTTTGTAGAAGGGCCACCGTTTGCTGCATAGATATTCTATGTTTTATGCTAATTCTTTGGGTTTGGCATACAAAAGAACGCCTGAAAAATAATAAGCAAGTGATTTTTCTAAAAATCTACATTGAACATACAGGCTCACTTCATTTTATTGTGCTTTGCTTTATTATGCTTCACAGAAAATGAATTTTTACAAATGGAAGGTTTATGACAACCTGTATCAATCAAGTTTATCAGCTCCATTTTGCCAACAGCATGTGTTCACTTCATGTCTCTGTGTCACATTTTGTTGATTCTTTCAACATTTCAAACATTTTCATTATTATTATGTCTGTCATGGTAATTTGTGATCAGTGATCACTGGTGTTACTATTGCAAGTGTTTTGGAGCACCCCCAACTCCACCCATATAAGATGGTGAACTTCATTGATCAGTATTGTGTAGTGTTCTGACTGCTCCAAGAGAGACTTGGGAAAACCACTTACTAGTGTGAACATGTTTATAAATATGCATGAAAACTGAGAAGCCCTTCCCCAGTCTCTCTCCCCCTCTTCCTTTGGTCTTCCTATTGCCTGAGACACAACGATATGAAACCAAGCCAATTAATAAACCTACAATGGCCCCTGAGTGTTCAAGTGAAAGGAAAGTTGCATCTCTCTCACTTTAATCAAAAGGTAGAAATGATTAAGTTTAGGGAGGAAGGCATGTCAAAAGCTGACATAGACCAAGAGCTGGGCCTCTTGTAACACTTAGCCAAGTTGTGAATGCAAAGGAAATGTGGTTAAAGGAAATTAAAATTGCTACTCCAGTGAACACACAAATGATAAGGAAGTCAAACAGCCCTATTGCTGTTCTGGAGAAAGTTGTGGATAGAAGATTAAACCAGCCACAACATTCCCTTAGGCCAAAGCCTAATCCAGAGCACTGCCCTAACTCTTTTCAACTCTATGAAGGCTGAGAGAGATGAGGAAACTTTTCTTCAGAGAAGAAAAGTTTGAAGCTAGCAGAGATCACTTCATGAGACTCAAGCAAAGAGATCATCTCCATAACATAAATGTGCAAGATTAAACAGCAAGTGCTGATGTGCAAGCTGCAGCATGTTATACAGAAGATGTAACTAAGATCATTGATGAAGGTGGCTATGCTAAACAACAGATTTTCATTGTAGAAGAAACAGCTTCCTACTGGGAGATGTCACCTAGGACTTTCATAGCTAGAGACAAGTCAATTCCTGGCTTGGAAGCTTCAAAGGAGAGGCTGACTTTCTTGTTAGGGGTTAATGCAGCTGCTGTCTTTAAGTTGAGGTCAGTGTTCATTTACCATTTCAGAAATCCTAGGGTCCTTAAGAATCTTGCTGTATCTTGTCTGCTTTTGCTCTGTAAATAAAACAACAAAGCCTGGATGACAGCTGATGTGTTTTCAGTGGGCTTAATTTTAGGCCCACTGTTGAGACCTACTGCTCAGGAAAAAAAGATCCCTTCTAATTGACAGTGTTCCTAGTCACCCAAGAGCTCTGGTGAAGATGTACAAAAAGATTAGTCTTGTTTTCATGCCTGCAAACACAGCAACGTCCATTCTGCAGCTCATTGATCAAGGAATAATTTTGATTTTCCAGTCTTATTATTTAAGAAATATGTTTGTTAAGGCTGTTCCTGCTGTAGATAGTGATTCCTCTGATGGATCTGGGCAAAATAAATTGAAAGCCTTTTGGAAAGAATTCCCCATTTCAGATGCCGTTAAAAATATTCACGATTCATGTGGGCAGGAAGGAGGTCAATATATTCACATTAATGAGAGTCTGGAAGAAGTTGATTCCAGACCTCATGGATGACTTTGAGGTGTTCAGTACTTCAGTAGAGGAAGTAACTGCAGATGTGACGGAAATGGCAAGACTAGAACTGGAAGTGGAGCCTAAAGATGTGATTGAATTCCTGCGATCTTATGTGAAAACTTGAACATATGAGGAGTTACATCTTACGAATGAGCAAAGAAAGTCAGACAGAATCTACTACTGGTGAAGAGCCCGTGAACATTGTTGGAATGACAACAAAGAATTTAGAATATTACATAAACTTAGTTGATAAAGCAGCAGCAGGGCTTCGGAGGATTGATTCCGATTTGGAAAGAAGTCTTACTGTGGGTAAAGTGCTATCAAACAGCATCACATGTTACAGAGAAATCTTTCCTGAAAGGAAGAGTTAATTGATACATCAAACTTCATTTCTGTCTTATTTTAAGAAATTGCTATATCACCCCAACCTTCAGCAACCCCCACCCTCATGAGTCAGCAGCTGTCAACATTGAGATAAGACTATTAGCAAAAATACTACAAATTGCAAAAGCCTCAGTATCTCTTTTTTTTAAACAAGTATTTTTAAAAATATGTATGTTTTTTAGACATAATGCTATTGCACACTTGATATACTATAGTATAGTGCAAACATAACCTCTCTATGCACTGGGAAACCAAAAAAAAAAATGTGTGACTCTCTTTATTTCAATATTTGGTTTATTATGGGGGTCTGGAACTGAACCCACAGTACCTCTGAGGTATGCCTGTATATAAATCTTGAAACAGATTAATTCTTGTCCCCTTCCTCATAAATAGCACAAAATAAAATGTTAACTCAGAAATCAAATTCCTTGACCCAACTTGGGGTGTTTCTTGCGGCAGCTGTGATTTATACAGGTTAACAAATATATAAATTTTATTTATATTAAATGTTACATCGTACAGAGCTCCAAACACATAGAAAAATGCCTCTCATGGACCCAATAAAAAAAAAGCTTCTATTACAGACTTTACTATTTTGAAGAACCCACTTGCTTATGCTTCACATCCAATTGAAGATTGTATCTGCGCATTTAATACTTCATATTTTGAAAACATGTTTTCTAGCACAAAAACTGTGCAAAACCTTTATATATCATGAAGAGACTTTCCAAGTAGATAGTTTTATATTTTATGCCCCTCTTGCTGTGAGTTTCCATGATCTACAAGTGTCAATGACAATTCAGAATTTCAAATGGAGCACTATAAAATTACCCGCTTTGGGTAGTAAGTAAAATGACTCCATTTGGTAGTTATTAAAATATAAAAATGTATATTTAAATTATTTGGTTAAAATATGAAGCTATTTCAATTCTATTATGTAAAGCTCTTAGAAATTCCGTGGCACAGAGTTAGCTGTTATTACTCATTTTCTAAAAATTAGTTTAAAAGCCATAAACCATCTCTTCTGTGGAGCTTTCACTGACCACAAATTCTCATTGTGTCATGGCGTCATGCTGGCCAGAATTGGGAATCTGCTTTTCTACAAAAGCCAATTTGATAAACAAAAACTATATCTCATTGTTTTATATAAGTCAAACCATTTGTGTGTCTTTTTCTGTGAACTGCCTATTTCATGACTCTTGTCCATTTTTCTTTTAGTATGCTAGCTGTTTTTAAAATTTGAATCATTATTTATATGTTAAGGATTTGACATTTTATTTGCTATTTTATTGCAAGTATTTTCACCAACTTGTCCTTTGTCTCTTAATTGATTTGCATACAGGAGGATTACATTTTTATGTTGTTAAATCTTACCTGTTTTATACATGATGATGTGGGGACAATTTCTGAAGGGTGAAAGGTTGCTGACTGGTCTGTGCATTGCTGCTCCCTAAATATACCACCACAATGGGCAAGAACTGCAAATGTGAATCTGAAACTTAGGGAAGGAGTTTAGGTTGGAGATGTCGATCAGAGTGTCACCTGCCTAGTGCCTTGTGAAAACAAAGATGCAGATTAATTCCTCCACGGCAAGAGTGGAAATAGGGCAAGGTAAAGGAACCCACATTGGAATGTCTGTATTTGGGGGACAAGGAGAAGAAAATGAGTTGGCAAAGCTTGTATAGAGAAATAAGCAAAGAGAAAAGATAGAGCATCATCATAGGCAATGAAGTAAAGAGATACAAGGTGATGGTCAATTGGTTAAGTAGGATGCAATTTGGCAATTTGGCAAGAGGAATCCGTGAAAAAGCCAAGCTGCAAAAACAGAGGAGCAAAAAGGAGTTGAATAGACTAAACATTTTTCTGTTTGGTTGAATGAGCACCATCTCTAAGAACATATGGAAATATTGAAACAAAAACAAAAATTATATTTATTTGTACAAAGTGATCCTGCATCTTGTGTGGTTTCCTGATGGCTTCTTTCATTTCCACCACTATAAGAATTTTTTGAAGTTTAAAAGGAAAGCAAAGGAAACATTTTATAGGGAATTCACATTTTAAAGCCCTCTTCTTGCCTAGGAATAAATTTAATGGGTCAATGCTTCATCTTCTGTCATTTTATTATAATCACTAAAGTTACTTAATGGGTTTCACTGGGTTAGGGAACTGGGTTGATTCTTTCCATATGGATTCAAAACTGAATTTCTTTAAATAGGAAAGATACCAAAAAAGGAGAGAAAATCCAGGAGAGGCAGGATCCCTCACAGGTCACAAATATGGTATAGACTTATGAGTGCTTGTGGCTTTCAGGACCAAAGTTCAACCTTGCCAGAGGAATAGAAATGGGGCTGCCTGGTTTCCTCCACTGCTGTATTGTTTCATATCCTCATGACTTATGTGTGACGTGACTTTTGCATGCTCTGCTAATATGCCTGGCATTGTCTATTTGTTTTTTCTTTTTTCCTATCAGGGAGCAGAAAGAAAAATCCGAGACGAAGAGAGAAAGCAGAACAGGAAGAAAGGGAAAGGCCAGGCTTCCCAAACTCAGTGCAACAGCTGTGAGTTTCACTGAGACTAATGTTGCTTTCTACAGGGGAGACTCGATGTGGGCTGTGTCCACTAGGGGAATAGGTGGAAGAAGTGGGTTGCAGGTACAACTACATACATAAAAGGTATGGCTTACTTTCCCCTGGCAGTGGAGACAGGTGATTGATTATCCCTGTGAAAAGCAAATAGAATCACATGAGCACAGTGTGTTTGAGCTAGGAAGGACTTTGTAATAGCCTGGAGACCAACATCCTCCTTCTGCAGTCAAGGAATCTTGGGTGCATAAAGGGACAGAAGGGTGTGAGGGGTCCTATGCTTCACCTCAGGAGTGCTCAGCTGAAGTCCATGCTCCTGTTGGTTTTGCTGGGTTAGGGGTAGTAGGGGATGCTAAAGTGTATTTGCATCTGTGGTATTCAAGAAGCTTCATAGGAGAAAACCATGGACTTTAGGACCTAGAATTGAGAGTTCTTAGTCATACATTACTCTGTCATTTATGAGTTTTGTGATCCCATCCAGCCTCTGATGGGAAGTTGGCCGCCATCCCTTTACAGAAGAAGAGTGACATCACCTACTTCAAAACCATGCCTGATCTCCACTCCCAGCCAGTTCTCTTCATACCTGATGTTCACTTTGCAAACCTGCAGAGGACCGGACAGGTATGACCTACCAGCTAATGTCCACCTCCCATCCATCCACAGGGCAGGGAGGGCCTTAAAATAGAAGCAGTGTTGACCTCAAAAATAACTTACCTTCCATTTACTAGAGAAAAAGTCAATGTCATTCCCTCTAGTAAATGCATTTTTATAGAAAGGAATGTCTCAGGAGAGGAAACTAAGTCGGAGAGGAGAGTAAGCTGATATTAGTGAAGTCTTGACAAAGAGTGGAAGAGGAAGAAAGTAAGAAGGCTGATAACCTCCAAGTTGTGTTCTGACAGCTTTGTCGTGGCCGGGATTATCCTGACGCAATAGAGCTCCACCTAATGGTGAGAAGTTGAACTGCACCTAAAACTCCATAAAGTTGCATAAAGGGAAAGTCTCAGCTTAAATAAAACTCCAACAAATTTTCACTTAGTAAATAAAAGGTTCCCATTTCATAGGTAAATCATTTCACATCAAAAGAAAAATAAGGTTGTAGACAATCCCCCTTTAAAAAACTTCTTCTCTTCTAGTTATATCTACAAGTGAAATGAAAAGATCTCAAACTAACATAAATGTCCAATAATTAACTCATTATGGTAGCTCAAGTTGATGGAATATTATGTGGTCACTAAAATTTTAATTATGGAAACTACATAGCAACATGGGACCTCGTTATGATGATGTTCAGTGGGAAGAAAATGTAGAATAGTAATTTGTGTTTATATTATCATCCCAAATATATAACTGAATTTGAAGGGAGCAAGAAAAATTGCAACACTTTTTACAGGGTTATGAGATATGGCTGATTTTTCTTTTTCTTTTTAGTATATTTCTGTTATGTGATAAATAAAAATTGTGTGAAAAAAGAAAAAAAATAATTATTTCCTTAGCATTAGCCAGGATTATTTTTTACCAAACCAATTGGGTTTTAATGAATTTTTGTATCCATTAGTTTTCTTTTAAACCCAAAGTCCTTTAAGGAAACATCTGTTTTGAGAAATAAAGGCATACTGACACATTTAAGTTTTTCTTTCATTCCAAGCATGCAAACACTCATTGGAATTGACCTTAGGGTAGAAAGAAATCACTATTGGCTTTACTTTCTCTTTTGCATGTATTTTGTCCCCCAGTATCCAGTGTGTTCTTTCATTATATTCATGAGACAAAGCAACTCTACAACCACAGCTTTTTGTTGTTACTCATGACCCAACGTGGGAATAAAATGCCTATAGCTGTTTCTTAAAGCACAATGGCCGGGTGTGGTGTAATCCCAGCACTTTGGGAGGCCGAGGTGGGTGAATCAAGGTCAGGAGATAGAGACCATCCAGGCCAACATGGTGAAACCCTGTCTCTACTATAAGTACAAAAATTAGCTGAGTGTGGTGGCGCATGCCTATAGTCCCAACTACTTGGGAGGCTGAGGCAGGAGGATCGCTTGAACCTGGAAGGCAGAGGTTATAGTGAGCCGAGATCATGCCATTCCACTCCAACCTGGCGACAGAGCAAGACTCCGTCTCAAAAGCAAAACAAACAAACAAAAAAACCATTAAAAACCAATTTAACATTTTCATCCTGTCTTACTTGATGGATAAGAACAAGGACACAAAGTAGGGAGGAAGAATTTTGTAATTTATCAAGATAAGCGTGCCAGCACTTATTTATTTATTTAATTCCCAAGACCATGGTGGTGGTTTGTGTCTGCACTGTCTGTGCCCCATGGGAGTTTATGGAGCCAGGTTTCTGCACCTTTGAGAAGAAGGGACAATTGAGTTAAATTGTTCTTATTGTTTGGTTTGTTGTCATGACTCTGGCCTCAGTTCCATGTCAAAGCTGACAACCTGACCAGTTCTTTTGACAAGCATTCTCCAAAATATACAAAGTATAAATTAATCTTAAAAGTGGCCCTATCCGGCTGCTCCTGACTGTCAGTCCACTGACCTGTCTTGTCCCCTGAATGTGATGAGCCTGGGTGTCAGGAGCCCGGCTGTCAGCCTGAGGTGGAATCAGAAGGAAAGTGAAGACTTTATAATCTGTTGGTTTCAGCAGTTGCCAGGCAGCCCAATCAGTGCCCCCTGTATATCCTTCCTATAGATCCCTCTGTATATCCTTCCTATAGATCCCCCTGTATATCCTTCCTATATATCCCCCTGAATATCCTGCCTGTATATCCCCCTATATGTCCTGCCTCTATATCCCCCTATATGTCCTGCCTCTCTATCCCCCTATATGTCCTGCCTCTCTATCCCCCTATATGTCCTGCCTCTCTATCCCCCTATATGTCCTGCCTCTATATCCCCCTATATGTCCTGCCTCTCTATCCCCCTATATGTCCTGCCTCTCTATCCCCCTGTATATCCTTCCTATATATCCCCCTGTGTATCCTGCCTGTATATCCCCCTGTATGTCCTGCCTCTCTATCCCCCTGTATATCCTACTTGTATATCCCCCCTGTATATCTGGAGGCCTTCCTCAGAGCTCTCTGGCTTCTTCCATGGCCTTGGATTTGGAGAAGAGGGGTCAGTGAAGAAGCCTGCTCTGAGCTTCTGGAAACAAAGGAACACACTCAACTGTCTCTAGAATAACCTGTGACTATGCTGTGGTTGATCAGCTAACTTAGCTGAAGGAAAGGAGCTTGGACAGTGGCTGGCTAGGGACTTTAAGACTGCATTTTCTCAAAAAAAGATTGATGCCCGGGAGATCCTTCCAAAGACAGGAGGGAATAGGCAGTGCCATGGCCTTAGATTTGGGGATGGGGCAGAGACTGGCCAACTTTGACCTGCAAAACAAGAGCTCTCAGTGGCAGGTCAAAGGATATGGCTGGTTTCCCTTAAGGGGATAGAAATATAAAGGGGAGCAAGAGAGACTCAAGGACTAATGTGTATCTCAGAAGCCACTGCAGTCCTGAGCTTGCTAAAATCGGCTGCATTGCAGCTGTGCCCAACTGCAGGGCCAGCAGTCCTGCTGTTCTCATGGCTAGTGAGGCACCTGCGAGCTATGCTAAAACTACAGGGCAGCAGTCCGTGTTCACTCAAGGACATGACTTGGGGAATGGGTTTTTTCACTGTCAGTCCACATGCCCCCCAACCTTCCCGTTATCTCATTGATTCACATATGGATTGAAATATTTTTCAGATACTTATCAAAACTAATGTGAAGGAATAAATCCAATGTACAGGCTCTATGGAGCCCTTCAGTTTTACTCACCTGATATTGAATCCCTGATATTCAGGCTGTTTATTTCTGGATGCTTTTAAAGGTCATGTGATTAGGTGAGATTGGGAAAAATTGGTGAGATGCAGAGGCATCATCGTTATAGATAATATCTACTTTGCAGGCATCAGCCTTCCCCAAAACACTTGAACCCGAGGAGGACTCTTCTTTTCCCTTACATGCTCAGAAACCATCTCCTGCACTGTTGTTTGTAAACAAACTTCCCCCATATCATAGGAGTTCTTGATAAGGATTTGGATTCCTGAGTTCCATTCTTGATCTTTTGAATTAAAATTTCCCAAGTGAGTTCCAGAAATTTTTGTTTATGATAAAGTTTCCAGATATTTTTATACACTCTAAAGTTTGAAAAACATGCTCTAGAAATTAAGTTAGGGCAATGAACCCAACAGCTGACAAGAAATCGTTGGTCCTTATGGGTAAGAAGGAGAAATGACAAAGAAGAGACAGTGGTAGGGACAGTGAAGTAGAGACCATTCAGGAGGGTGGGAAGACACCTAAGAGAAGCTTGCTTCCATCTTTGAGTCACCAACCAACTTTGCAGAGGCCAGGAGTCAGGCCAGAGAGATGCACTATGCCACGTTTAAAGAAAGCAGTAAAACACATGCCAACATGGGGAACTTTTTCAAAACAATCCAGTTTTATGGCCAGTGGAATGCCCCAGCCTCCTTCACTTAGGTAGGTTACTCCGTATTCATGAAAGTAGGCAGTCCTGTTCATGCTCTGAATACCACACTGAGACTTGAGGTGGGGAGAAAAAACTTGCCTCCATTGTTTTCCATTTAAGAAGAAACTAAGTATACCGTACAATACTAGCCATTAAAAAACAGGAAAAATTCCTGCAGAAATCTGAGCTAATGACTAGAATGACTCATTCCCAGAGTTCCAAGTAACCAGTCTTGTTTTATAACCATGTCTAGGTTTGCAGCATCCCAGGAACTGCCAAGAGCCTTTGAGAAGGTTTGTAGGGAGGTTGTCCATCTAGGCATAGCTGTTTCTCTCCAAGGCTGGGGCAGGGATGGTGACTAGATGTACTAGCATCAGGGGCTACTTTTGAGTTAATATGTAAATGTCTGATACTAACTCAGGTATTATTCTTCACCCAAACTGTCTTGACACACACAGATAAAGCTGAAAAAAGGCCCACAATTAGTGTTTACAAATAATGGGGTTAAGAGGACATATATACATAGCAGATGCCCTCTGGATTTCTCCCAGAGGGTTCTATAAAATAATAAGAATGCTTTGTAATTTCTTTAATCTGATTCTGCCCTCTGCCATGCTAACTCCCTAGTCTGTCTTTGGAGATCTTCCTTCTGGCCAGGAACACCTTCTAGAGCTAAATGACCTTTCCTGGTCTGGAGACTGTTGACTCCTAAATTTCTGTGGTTCTGGGATGCCAGGATAACCTGGCCCCTTTGGGGAGTAAGTAGACAGGCCTAGTTACTGTCATGCTGCTCTCTTACCCCACTCTCCATCCGCCACATGGTCCACAGGCAAGTCGACTCCAGATACTGTGCTACACGGGGGCAGGAAAAGGACCCACCCTACAAAGCCAGAGCCTTTGTAAACAGTGAATTTTAGATCCCACCAAAATGTCTCCTTAATGTCAAGGGTAAGATTTGGCTTAATGCCAGAGTTAATCTAACCAGACTGACTTTAGCTAGAAATAATCAGATTTCCAATTGTATTTCACTAAAATCTAAACATTAACCCCACGGAGATTATAAGGAGGTTAAAAATGCATTTCCTTAGAAATACACACACACACACACACACACACACACACACACACACACACACAACACAGTATCCTTAAAAAGGTTAGTATTTGCCTTTTTAAGAAACAGCTTATGCCTTGGGCAAGTCTGTACACGTGATATTTTTCCATTTCGTGTCTCTGACCTACAGTAAGCCTATTGTTTTGTTCCACAGGTGTATTACAACACGGATGATGAACGAGAAGGGTAAGACACTCAGTTCTTTCATTTCAACACCTCAAGTCAGTGGTAATGGCACTTCCAGCACTGGGTAACTCTAGGTAGAAAGTAAAACTGTCCTCTCACCTCAGGGCTCAGAGCTGAGAGATGCTTGATTCTGGGGACCATCTGGGAGGGAGGCTGGAGCCTGGAGGAATGAATAGCTTTCTACTTTTAGGACTCTTTCCACACCTGCTCCTGTCTATGACCCACCTCTTTGAATAACTAGCTGTTTTTCTAAGGGCCCTATCCCTTCCATTCCATCCTTTCATTAATAATCCAGTTGCTGAAATCTTCTCGATAGTCCTTCTTACCCATTGTTTGGCCCCAACACAAGAGCAAGATGAGCTTGAGGCAAGAGTCAAAGATGACAGCCTACCCTACTTCCAGTACTGCCTGGGCTGCACGCACAACTCTCAAAGCCTCTCCCTGAGAAGTTAGCCCGATAGGCCAGTAGTGAGGCTGGTTGGAAGACCAATTGGACTGAGAACCTTTTCAACTGTAGGCAAGAGACAGTCACAGAAACTCTCAATGTCTCCACATCATGTCTGCATAAGAGTGATGGGAGATGTTCTCCATCTTTGCCTAGGATACACGCCTGAATGTGGTCCTGCAGGCTTTTAGGAGGAGCCAGGTCTTCAAAGTGCTTTCTATCTACTAACTCATTTTGTAGACTCAGAATTTTTGGGCCAAAAAGACATCTTATGGTCATTTAGCTGACCTCTTCTTATAGATGATGGTAACAGCTATACCACCTCTTTGATGAGCAGCCAGCATGTTCTACTTGAAAATTCCCAGTGATAGAGAGTTCACTGGGTGTGAGATAGCCCATGACACCGTTGGACCATTCCAGCTCTTAGGGAGTTATTTTGTCTGTTGAGTGAATGTCTGCCTTCTTTTGACTTCTACCCATTGGCCTTAGTTCTGCTCTCTGGATAAGTCTCATCTTCTCATGTCATTCAAACATCCCCTTCCTCCCTACAACTGTTCTTTGTAAAATATAGTTTTACTTCTCAACATCTTAATTTCTCTCCAAGGTACACTACTAAATTTATTAGTAGTTTCCTTAAAATTGGCTGTGTCAGAATAAATATATGTTCTCAACCACCTGAGTTACAGATTATATTGGGAGATTCCTTCTTAGGACGTGGGTGCTATTTTATACTCAAAGTAATCTAGAACTACTTGCATTTTCAATAGCTACCTTATGTTCTTGGTTGCATTACATATGTGTTACTAAAATCTTTAGATCTTTTTTCTTCACACTACAATCAAACCAGGACTTTCCTATTCTTAAATAATTAATATATTTACTTGCAAAACATTTCACAGTTGGCTAAATGGCGCAGATATTGCTGAGTTTATTCCTAGAGCAGAGGTTGGCAAACTATAGCCACAGGACAAAATTGGGGCCACCACCTATTTTAGTATAGTCTGCAAACTACAAATGGTTTTTACATTTTTCAGTGGTTGAAAAGAATTCAAAAGAAGAAGAATATTGCTTGACATGTGAAAATTAAATAAAATCCAAGTGTCTTTAAGTAAAGTGCTACTGGAACACAGCTGTGTCAATTCATTTATGTATTGTCTGTGGCTGCTTTGCTGCTACAGCAGCAGAGCTGAGTACTTACAACAGAGACCATATGGCCTGCAAAGTCTAAATATTGATGGACCGCCCCTTTACAGAAAATGCTTGCCACCTTCTATCCTAAAAGGTAGAAAATCTCAAAGGAGTCAAATGATTCCCTGGCTAATTAGGAGCAGAACCTCATCCAGGATTTAACCTCTAAATTCTGAGTTCTAAATTTTCTAAATACTTAGTTAGACTGTTCTTTCTATCTTGGCACATAGATAATATATTCCCAGTGGTTGGAATGAACAGAAATGACTAGCACTGTCAATTCTAATCAGTAATTCCCACATTTAATGAGGCACAATGTGGTGTCCCAGAAACAACATTGAATGTGAGCTCAGGAAGCCCAAGATCTCCTCCTGGGCTGCTGCTGACTAATGTGAAGCCTTGGGCCAGCTCCTTGATCTCTGGGCTTTGGTTTCCTTAATTGACTTTGAGGATCTTGCACACGATCTTGAAGATTCCATCTAATACTAGCATGCTATTGTTCTCGTGGGAAAACTTAGTATTATGACTGAGAAGGGCCTGAGATCCTGAATTTGCCTTGATGGGCAGGCCTCAGTTGTAAATCTGTCTCACCTCAAACTGTCCTTCCTTGCAAGCTGAGTGCAGTTAGATGGCCATCGGCCTACTTGTAACTCCATTGATTTGGCTCCTCTGTGTTGGCTCACCCTGTGTTATTTTATAACCATGAGACCCAAGGCCTGCATCGTTTGCTCTGACACATCTAACTAGAGTTTGACTGAGCGATATGAACAGTGTCGGAGTCTGAGTGTTAAGACATGGTAGGTGTGTGGCTACTGTGGTGTATAAAAGTGATAATTAACGTTACTGGATACCTTGGCTAGGTACTGTGCTAAGTGCTTTATGCATGATCTCATTGAATTCTCCCAGATTTCGCATTATTCCCATTTTATAATGAGGAAACTGAGGCTTCAAAATATTAGGAGACAGCCGATAAATGATAGAGGTAGGATTTAAACCTGGGTCTTGCTGCATTTCCCATCACTGGCTTTTAGCCGTGATGCCCTATTGTCTAACCGTCTTAATTCTCGACCTGTGGCTACAAAGCAGGTATTGAGAGACAGGCCCTCGCTGAGATAGCTTTCCGACCTTGACAAAGGCACATCCTTTGTGGAGTGTAGGACCCAGATTGTAACAAGCCCAGATGCGTGTATCTGGCAGAGGGGACCAGATCTGAGGCCACCATATGTGTTCACCTAGTCCTAAGGAGTGCCAGCTTTACTGGCAATTGTACAACTTTCCTCAGGACTACTCATTGGCCATGTTCTTTCCTCTCTCTGACACATTGATGAATACTCACATTAATTAATGCTCACATTAGTGTTCAAGTATGCAAATGAGTGCTTAAAAGCATCACTCACACAATGACCAGACTGAGGATATAACACACAAGAGCCTCTCTCCTGGCAACCGCACTATCATGCAGATTTGTTGACTTCTCTCTATGACCGATTTGGTGGGCAGGGGATACAGCAGTTATAGACACGCAGTCTTTTGGACAGCAGTTCTCAACAGTAGGTCTCTTGCTGCACAATCGAATCACCTGGAGTGTTAAAAAATATCATGCAGAGGCCCTGCCTCTCCTGCAGGACCGAGGTCCTGTAGACACTGCCAGACCAAACCATGAGCTCGATCAAAGCATTGTTGAGAATAGAACAAGACCCTGCTCATCTTCCATGGAAACACACATTTTGGCAAGAATTTATTGCCTTTGGGAAAGTCAGAAATTATTAACCAATCAATAGTGAGTGCATTTAATCAACAGGATGTTAAATCTAAAAAGTCATCACTCTGTGTTTATTATCAGTTTTTATGGGGTTACAAAATAAAATTCTTCTAGAGTCCTATACTATTTCTCTTAAAGGAACAATTTTCCACATAATCAAGTGCTTTTCTTTGATAAGGTTGTCAGGGATGCCAAGCAAATCATGAAATGTGGGAGGTGATGGGCTATGCATTACCAAATATACCTGAATATAAAGTGATTAAGAATATTGGGCAATTTCTGCAGTTTCCCAAGGAGAAAATGAAAACAAAGTTTTGGGGCCAACCTGAACAGGTAAATCTTTATAGCCAAAAGAGTCAATGACTTACTGATACTTGCTCTGTTAATTTAATTACATATACATTTAAAGAAAAACATATTGTATAATTCAGAAATAGATATCATGTTTTGTGAAACACACTTGTTGAAATTCTTCATAATTCATCTTCAACATCAGGTTCTTTCTCAGCACTGAAGTTACTTTTTACCTGAAGTAACTGATATAAATGTTATATGTGGACCTGCTTTTACCATCTGTTTTTCCTTTGGTCTTGTTTATTGTCTACTTGATAAATATTGATTCAGTGGTGAACAATGTAGATAAAAATCATGGAGCTTATATATGATGATATTTCTTTCTTATCAATTCTGTGCTGCCTCAGTGGGTGAAGATCACCATAAATGAGTCAGGGACAGAGCTGACACAAACCTGGGTTGCAGTTTGTATTAGCCTCAGGCTACCTCTGGCTCATCCTAGGTTGTAGTTATGAGGGACTTACTCTGGGTCTTTTTTTTTTTTTTTTTTGGTGGGGACTGATACCTAATTGTTGATTCCTTAGGGTAGTGAAACTGCCACAACCTCTTCAGTGATTTTTCAAGGGCTTTTGCAAAACTTCTCTTGTCCTATGCATCTTAAGAACTTGGCAAATACCTTAACAGTAATACTACAGAGTATCTGGCTCACTTCTCTGTACCTCCCTTCTCTCTGGAAGTTTGACATAAATTCTGGGTGCCTTTGTAATCCTAAGCCCCAATTTTTGTTTCTCAAACACTATGAGATTGCCAAAAGCTATGAAAGCGTCCTTGCTCTTAGGTCTGAGCCTCTGGTGGGCTTATCATTCGCTACACCCCACTAGGAATTGGCAAATGCTTTGAGAGGAGAAGTGGTGACTAATGATCAACTCACCTCTCTTCAGTTCTCTCCTGAGATTTCAGCTCCTCAGATTCCAGCTCCCTCATCAGCAGTTCTCCAATACCTTCAATAAGATTTAAAAAATTTTTTGACAATTTTTCAAGTCATCTTGGCTAGAAAATTGCTCTGCCACAAGCTATACTATTTTAGCAGGAAACAGAAGTATCTGTATTATCTTTGAAAATGATTCCTCTGGGGCCTACTGACCTCGTTATTTATGACTTGCAATTTTGAGCTCATCTTTCAATAATAGTTACTAAATCTATGCTGTGTGGTTTTGTTTGTTTGTTTGTTTTTTTACTGACAGCTCAAATGGTTTCCATTAAATATCCCAAACTAGGATCAATTAAAATCATTTTGGGATAAGTTCTTCCCCAAAGAGTACTTTGTTGAAAATAAATTCATTCAGATCCTACTTTATAATGTGAAAGACTTTGTGCAGAGTTGAATAGAAGATGACCTCTTTTCTGAGGATAACATGGGCAAGGGACTTCGATTTAGATAGGGCATTCATGGAAGCAGCATACATAGGCCACAAGCAGAGTTGAGAAATAGGCAAACTACATCTCTGTGGTGCCTGCAACCCCATTCTGTACTCTTCTTGAGCAGCTCCTCAGTAGGCAAGCAATGCCTAGTGAAGTTGCGCCTGGCAGGTAGGATACAGCGTTGCCTTTCACAGGTATGGCCAGAGATCCATGCTTCAGACCTGACACCTTCCCACTGTTTTTTTCTGATGAAACTTAACACTACCTTCATGTCTCAGGGTCTTGCTCTCCCCAAGTTGACCCTACAAGGTAATGGCTGAATGTGCTGCTGGGCCTAGAATCATTCTACATAGTAGCCACGACATTGTGCTAGGGAGTTGGAATTGGTGTCAGAGAAAGCACTCTTTTCTTGCTCTCCAGTCTTTTTGTGGTACATTTATCCCTCACTGTCTGGGGAAGATTGGCCTTAGGACCTCCCATGGATACCAAAATTTGCAGACTGAAGAGTCTCTGGTATAAAATGGCATAGTATTTGCATATGACCAACACACATCCTCCCTTAAATAATCTCTAAATTATTTATAATGCCTATCCAATGCAAATTCTATGTAAGTAATTGATCTATTGTATTGTTTTGGGACTAATGATAAGGAAAAAAAGTCTGTACATATCCAGTACAGATGCAAATTTTTTCTGAATATTTCTTATTGTGGTTGGTCAAAGCCATGGATATGGAAGCCACAGATACAGACGGCGAGCTACAGTTGGAGTGGGCACTGGGGAACCTGAAATTTGCTTTTTTCATTTGTTAAATGAGGCAGTCATATCGCCCTTCTTTTCTTGCCTTCTTTGAAAATAAATGAAACAGTTGAATTTGAACCACACAAACTCATTCACTCCTACTGAGTTTACAGATTTGAAAGTGTGAAAAAACGTTTTTGAACTCCCTGAAGAAAGGTGTTTATCCAAGATGTTATTTTAATGGTAGAGTTTGTCATGGTTCAGAACAGGGTGCTATCAAAAGTCAGCAGAACTGGAAAAATATAAATAAATTTTGCTTGGTGAAAAGGAAAGTCACTAGCTTAGGAACTCTCGCACAGCATGATGAGTGTCTGGTGATATTTCAGGCTATTTACCCGTTATTAACCTACTGGTCACTGACTGCTGTGTGAATGGGTTTGTTAATCTTCTAGCCCTGAGGCCATGGTCTCCTCAGTAGAGTCACATGGCCTGCTTTTATGACAAGGTAGAGAGGAAAGCAGAGGGAACAGTGCCCTAAAACTTTTAATAAGTTAGCACCTTCAGCCGGGACCTGGGTTTTAAGTTTCTCCTCTAGTGGTTTCCGTAACTTGACTTACTAGGGGATAAATTAAGAGGATGCTGATGCTGAAGAGCATTTCTTATGCCTATCCTCATTATCTCAGGGTTATTGAGTAGCTTTGTCCTGAGGTTGCTCCCTCAAAGATGCTTCTCTGAACAGCCCGTTTCACGTATTATTTGTATGGCCCTGCATCTAACACTTAACACATTGCACCTTTTGTCATCAATGAAATGGATAAAATTAGCTCTTATCACAGCCAGCTCTCAGGTGCTCATAAGACTTCAGTGACTGAGGCGATATGTGCTTTGTAATATCTGATGTCTTATTAAGAACTTCAAAGGATAGATATACCTTCTGGATGTATAGAGAAGCTATACTGTACATCCAGAAGGTGTACTCTGGCTAGTATGAGAAGGTAAATTAAGACAGCATTGGTTTAATAAATTAAACTCTTAGACTTAACAGAAATGCTCTGGGGACTGTTTACAGTTTTGCATTGTGGTTTTTTTTTGTTTTTTTTGTTTTGGAGACAGAGTCTTGCTGCTGTATCACCCAGGGTAGAGTGCAGTGGTACAATCTTGGCTCACTGACACCTCTGCCTCCCAGGTTCTGGTGATTCTCCTGCCTCAGTCTCCTGAGTAGCTGGGATTACAGGCATGCATCACCATGCCCGGCTAATTTTTGTATTTTTAGTATAGATGGGGTTCCCCTATGTTGGCCAGGCTGGTCTCAAACTACCAACCTCAAGTGATCTGTCTGTCTCCATCTCCCACAGTGCTGGGATTACAAGCATGACCCACTGCGCCTGGCCATATCATGTGCTCTTCTTACCACTAGACCTCACCATTAGCTTCACTTGAGAATTGATATATAACTTCATAATGACAATAAAGCTGATGGAGAGTTGAAGGTTTTCATGATCTTGAAAGCTTAGGACTGATGATACTGTCAATCTCCTGTGCAGGGAGCTTTACCAACATTAGTCCTTTCATTTGGACCAAAAGTGTTGTTTGGAATGTCCACTCTCTGATGGTAAATGGATACTCTCACCCTCTTTCAAACTGTCTGCCTTGTTTACTGTTCTCAAGCTCTCTCTTCCTCTAGTCTCTCCAACTTGTCATTGTAGGTCATTGTCATCTTCATCTAACACTTGAAGAGTGCTTACTATGTGTTAACACTTGAGTGCTTTACACATGGGAATTTATTTAATTTTCTTAACAGCTTCCTTTGAAAGATAAGGAGACTGAGACCCAAGAAAGTTGAGGAACAGGTCCAGGCTCCTATAGCAAATTGTAAGGCAGATATTTAAACAGGGTAATCTGGTCCCAGAGTTCCTGTCTTAATAGTTCTGGCAAGCTGCCTGTCTGGCATTGTTTCATGTGCCTGGGCCTTAATCCTGAATGTTGAAACCTCAAAAGATCAAAAGTCCTGAAGTCTAAAATCCCTCACGTCATATTTTTGGGATTTCAACATTCAAAATCATGGCATCTGGGATTGTATCTTGGGGTAGTGACCAGCACTGGGTCCCAGGAATCTTTAGACAGGCTAAATATTTCTAAAAACCTGTATCTGCTCCATTGAAGGTTTGAATCTTACTATTTTAAGATTCCATTCGGTGGCATTTTTTCAGTATCAGTGACTTCTATCCTCTTGATTTCTATTTCTCTCTCAAAAAAAAAAAAAAAAATTCCTCCCCTTGTGTAGGGTGCCCAGAATGAACAGGGACTGTGGGAGGACATGGAGACCCATCAGAACTGGTTGAGCTGGGGACTTGCAGGGCCTCAGCACCACAGGCTTCCGGGAAGGGAGACTGCAAACCTCTCCTGAGAAGGAACGAAGGCCTGCGCAGCTGAGGTCTGAGTGTCTAAGGAACTTCCACCACTGCAGTCCATTTGCTGCAGCCAAATGGAGAGGCAGAGCATCAGGAAGGCAGGACAGCCGCATCACAGAACCTACGGCAGGCTCACAGCATTTCCAGAGGTCACTGCTGGGCCCCAAGGGGCCGGCAAAAGGGGTAGGCCACCCAGGCCTTAGCTGGTTGGGAGGAGCTGATGTGACTTGGACACCACACTGACGCCAGGGATTTCCTTCCCCGCAGCCTCGATCCTGAGCGGAAAGAAGGGATAGGTATTGGACGGAGTGGGTAAAACCCTGAAGTCTCACCTTAGTGGATCCATATTCCACAGCGGGAAGCACGAGTTGGGTCCATGCCCTGAAGCTAGTGGTGTGTGCTGCTTCAGACAGGGATTGTTTGGGACTTGCGAGGGGAAGAAGGAGGTTGGTGAGTGGATCCAGCTATGGAGCATAGGAATGGTATAAGCCAAGGAAAAGACAGAAACTGACAGGCACATGAACATGTGTTTTGACACCTTGCCGGTTTTACTTAAGGATTTCTGCTTATCTTTTCTAGCAGCAGTGTTCTTGTTAAACGGATGTTCAGGCCCATGGAAGAGGAGTTTGGTCCAGTGCCTTCTAAGCAGATGAAAGAAGAAGGGACGAAGCGAGGTATCTCTCCTACTGGGGCATGCCCTCCCAGAAGGGGTGCAGGGTATCTCTCCTAAGAAGAGCTTGCGGCCCTCTTGCCCAGGCCCCTGCGGCTCTGTGCCAGCCTGGTGACTTTCTCTTCACACGGGAAGTCTGTAGTCTTCTCCTGTGCTTTAAACGCTGTCATTTTAAACACCTTAAATAAACATTTGTTATCCCTTGGTTCCTTTGCCTTGGGAGAACATAATGAATAAACAGACTCATCCTGCAGTGAGGTACAAGGTTAAGAATGAAACTCTTGGTGTTTGTGTGTGTGTGTATGTGTATGTGTGTAACAGTCACACCTCATAAGAAGCAGAGATTGAGCCTCATTCAATACATGCAAATGATTCATCTCACACAAATAAATGAGCCTTAGGTTTCTGTGGCATCACCACTGACTCATTTTCTCTCAGTCAAGGGTCTTACTCTGCTTCATCAAGAGGGTAAGAAACAAAGCTGGCTGTGTCCATGTCTTGCTCAGCATGTCAATGCCATGCACGATTCCTTGCCCTCCCATGGAGTAAGAGGAAAGTGTGTGGGTGCACATTCACCCCAGTATCCTGCTGCAGCCAACACTGAGGCTTCTAGAAACCCAAGACCTAGCTAGTACTAGACTTTTTTTTTTTTTTGAGACAGGGTCTTAACCCGCCACCCGGGCTGTAGTGCAGTGGCGTGATCACAGCTCACTGCAGCCTTGACCTGCTGGCTTTCAGCTATCCTCCCACCTCAGCCTCCTGAGCATCTGGGACCAGAGGCATGCACCACTGTGTCTGGCTAATTTAGTTTTTTGTAGAAACAAGGTCTCAATACATTGGTCTGGTCTCAAACTCCTGAGCTCAAGCTATCCTCCTGCCTCAGCCTCCCAGCAGTATGGACTTGCAGTGAGTCAGTTCACCATGTTAAATATGCCTGCCATCTGCATAGACTTGAGTGCTTTGTTATTGAGAAAGTTGATTTTATTTTTCCTGTGTGTTGTGATGGGATGTGCACTGCGGTCAGTTCTCTGTATCCTGCCACAGCCACCTACTGTTGTGTGACCTTGGAGAGGTTCCTCACCCTTCTGCTCCACGGAGCCCTCATCTGTAAAAAGGAGATGGCAGGAGTGCCCACCTCACAGAGCTTCGTGAGGACTGAGGAGTTAATACCTGGGAGACATTTCAGGCTAGCACCACACACAGGGGCAGTACTCTGTGTTCACTGTTGTAACTGTTCATTTTATTATTAGTAACTAGTTAAGTGATATTATCATAACTCTAGGTAAGTAATTAGTGCTTCAGAATGGAAACAGCATAAATGCTACATTAGAAACATTTAAATCTTTACAAAAGTTTCTTTAAAAAAATTTTTTTTTTTGAGGCAGAGTCTCATTGTCTCCCAGACTGGAGTGCAGTGGTATGATTTCAGCTCACTGCAACCTCCACCTAACAGGCTCAGGTGGTCCTCCCACCTCAGCCTCCTGAGTAGCTGGGACAACAGGTGCACACTACCACACCTGGCTAATTTTTTGGTAAAATAGGGTTTTGCCATGTTGCCCAGGCTGGTCTCGATCTCTGAAGCTCAAGTGATCTGCCTGCCTCAGCCTTCCAAAGTACTGGGATTACAAGTGTGAGCCACCATGCCCCGCCAAACCTTTTAAAGAATTTCTGACTTCACAAACTCACCATCAAATATTGCAGTACCTTTGAACTTCATTCTTGGATGGCTTTTCTAGAGAGTCAGGGCAGTGACATGGATATCAGGAATCACAGAATCGCACAGGTGAAGCTAATTATAGCTAGCCTTCACATAGAGTGCCTGAGGTTAACCCAAAGACTGTTATTCAGATTATTTTGAGATTGTGAAACCAGCACCAAACTTGCCACTAGAAATTGTATTGGGCTGTGGCCTTTGAAACATCTGAATCATAGACACATGAGGGCGCTGTAACCTTTCAGCAGTGAAGGACTCTCCCCAGGAGTGACTTTTCTTGAGAAAAGGTCAGTGGAGTTACTGGACCCCTTGTTCGGAGCATCTGCTGAGCCGGTCTTTGACAAGTAGGAGAATCAGCCTTAGTGACTTTGTCTATCGTTTATTTGTTAGAAGTTCTCCAAGAGGAGAGAATGAACATAATTATCACTAATGCCATGAGTATTGGTTTTTGCCTTTGTGGCCATTTGTCAAGGTAGCTGGGTGGGAGTCCCTTGTGGGCTGCCTTGTGGCTACCTGCCTTTGGCTGCACAATGCCTGGGACACGTAATGGTTGTTCTTGCGACTATCAGCAGAGTGACTATTACAGAGTAATGAAAGCTGACTCCCTGCAAAAGCTGTCGGGGTAAACTGTGAGACCAGCATGCCCCATGATTTGCTGTCAACAGGCCCAGCAGGGGAATGGTGGAGCTGCCCTGCCTGGTGCCTCTCCCAGGCCCATCAACATGGCTCCCTTCACACTTTCCAGCCATACCTGAAGCAAGAGTAGCAGCCATATCATTTTAAAGACCATGATTTCAAAAGAAAAGATTTGTAAATCCAGTGGAAGCAATACTCATAAGAGAATATGGTTTGTGGGGTGGGGCGCTGTGGCTCATGCCTGTAATTCCAGCACTTTGGGAAGCCCAGGCAGGTGGATCACTTGAGGCCAGGAGTTCGAGACCAGCCTGGCCAACATGGCAAAATCCCTTCTCTACTAAAAATACAAAAAATTACTCATATGTGGTGGCACACACCTGCAATCCCAGCTACTTAGGAGGCTGAGGCATGAGATTCATTTGAACCCAGGAGGCCGAGGTTGTAGTGAGCTGATATCAGGCTGCTGCACTCCAGCCTGGGTGAAAGCAAGACTCTGTCTCAAAATAAAAGAATGTAATTTAGGGGTCAGCCTGCTGGAAATTACTTTTCGTTTCCTATTTGGGGCTGCAGAGAGAAGTTATAGACTGTTCATCTGCAGCAGCAACCAATGGTTTTTTTCCTTGACTTGAATTTTCCTTATCTGGATGTAACTGAGGTCCTGTATTCTAATTATTTTTCCTTGTACTGCTAACACTGAGTCCTCTTGTAATAGCCATTAGGTCATTAGATTATTTTAGCTGAAATGAAGGCTATAAAATATTCCTTCCAAGGAACTAAATTTGGAAATCTTTGGAGGCACATTCTATTTATTTAATTGGTACTTTATTTTTATATTTGGTAAAGAGAAGAGAATCAGCAATACTTGTTCTTTATTACTATTTTTTCTTTCTTTCTCCCCTCACACCCCCACACACACTAATTGAACATCCACAGCCTGCAGAAAAGAAATGCAGGCAGAAGCCACATGTACCTGTGTAGACTTGGCCTTTGTGAAGCAACCAGCTTTAATGAAGTCCTCTGGGACTGGGAGGAGAGGGAGGAGGGGAGGGAGTTTGGATGAGAGCTGATTTCATTTTCTAGCTTCAACTTTGTTTTTCTGGTTTCTGGCTTTGTTGGTATCTGAGTGTCGCTGGTACCCAGAGTTGGCAGGGTTTTTTGACCTGTGCATTTTCCCTAGATGGCCACGGGGCTTCAGCCTTAACCCTCTTCCTTCCCTTTGAAGGAAGAATCAGAAGCCATCTCCCTGGGAGGAGGGAAACCACTCAGTGGGGATGAGGGTGGCCTCTGAATGACAGTTCCAAGTTTATTCTGGGAGCTCAGCCGCAGAACACAGCTGCTGTAAGGATGGGGACAGGTGAAGGGCAAGGGTGGCAGAAGGAACATCTGCCAGCAGCTGTCATGTCTGTGGGACCCTGGGGGAGTGTCTCAGCCTCTCTGAACTTGAGTGTGCACATCTTTAAAAATAGCTGAGACCTCCCTACCATTTCTCATACTCTCTACATTCTCAAATTCAGAATGTTATTTTGCAGAGAAAGAAATAGAGATGCTGTACTCCACCTCACGGAGGGCACTAGAACCGTGACAGCTGCTTCCCCCATTGATTGAGGATGGGTACTTGCTGTAAGCAGGCCCTGGGCCAAGCGAGCCACATGGCTTTTATTTCATTTAACCCTCAAAGTAGCCCTGCAAGGCAGATATTATCTCTGCTTCACAGAGACCAAGGCTTGGAGACTTTAAATGACCAGGGCCCATAGCAGGGGTTGCACTCTGGGGTCAAAGTCAGCCCTGTGGGACTCCAGATCCTAAGTCTCTTCTTCCCCTGGTTTCAGACTGTCCGTCTCCCTCCCAGGCCTGTGCACATGTTGGTTATCTACCTGGAGTTTGCTCTCCCTCTCCTCCCTTTGTCCCCACTGCTCCCACCTCGTCACTTGCCTGTATTGACACACACACAATTCACAACTTGGATCTCTCCTTCAAAGGACCCTTCCAGGAGCTTTTCCCCCAACCCCTCCAGGTCAAGGCCAGGCCCCTATGTCATTTTTCTTCATAACCTGTGTCTAGTCTGCTTATGTGAGGCATGTCTGCTTCTCTAAATGGACTACAAACTCCTTAAGGACAGGGGCTGTGACTTAACTCACACTGCTACAGCCCCAGCTCCTAGCATGCACAGCCTCTGGGCCCAGGTGGGCATTCAGTAATATTTGTCAAAGGAACAAATAAGATAGAAGAAAGACGCTGCAGAAAGAGATGTCGTGTACCCATGTGGAGAAATTCCACTGGGAACACTGATGTCAAAGCTTCTTACAGCCGGGTTGTTGGTTTATCTCATTGAATCATTCCTTAATAGTCCCTAGCCACAGGTTGTTTGTGGAGATGTCTCAGTCACCCTTGTTGAATGTCGTCTGGGCCAGGGGTCTGAGGCTTCGAAGGAGGTGCCAGCCTGCAACACCTATGTGACAGGAAACAATCCCCTGGGGCAGCTGCGGAATTGTGTGGGCCCTCGGTCACGTGGTTCTCCTGCCTTTCTTTTCCAGTGCTCTTGTACGTGAGGAAGGAGACCGACGATGTGTTCGATGCATTGATGCTGAAGTCTCCCACGGTGAAGGGCCTGATGGAAGCGGTAAGCCATGTGCCCCTTGCAGCCTCCAGGAAGCCTGCTATGTTCTCTCCCTTCTAGAATTCATGTACTAACATGCAGCCACTGAGATGGTTTCAGAATGAGCTTTACGCAGAACAAGAAAAACCTGAGATTTGTGGAGGCATCGATCTCCATACTGTCAAGGCTTATTAGCATCTTGAGGAGAAGGAAACTGAGAAACTGCTAATTCCCTGTCAGTTTAAGGCTAATCACAGTGAGATGCTGTGGAGGAGGGTAAAACTGAATTCTCACATGTCTCTTGGTATGAAACCAAATTAGATATGATTAACTCTCAAATATATACAAAACAAAAGCAATTAACAAGTGTCCAGAATAAAAATATAATTTCTTGGTTAAAAAAAACGCAGAATTATAGTGATTTGCAGTAAGATTCTTCCCTTCCTATCCCTGGTCTTGTCTAGTATTACCCACCTTGGACTTGCAAAAAGTTGTTTTACATTTTATTTATGTGTTATTCACCTGAATATAACTATAGTAGAACTCTGAATATAATCTCTAACTCCCCCCACTCCCAACCCCTTCCTCCTCCACTGCCCCATACAACTATATTGTCGAAGATTTGTTTTTTTATAGTGATAGAGACAACATGACTGCCAGAAACACAGTTTAAAATTGTTGGTTGGTTTGGAAAACTGCTACATTGGAACGGCGTCTTGGGTTACGGAGCCAAATGTTAAACTATATAGGATAGTTCCTGTAAGTGGAATCAGACAATTTCTTTCTTCTGGAATACTCTTTTTGAGCCTCCTTTCTGTTGTAGTATAAATCAGGACTTCACTCTTTTTTTTTTATTAAATAATATTTCACCGTATAAATATACCACATTTTGTATTTCCATTCATCAGTTGATGGACACTGGAATTTTTCTACCTTTTGGCTATTGTGAATACTGCCAATATGCACATTCATGGACAAGTTTTGTTTGAACACTTGTTTCCATTTCTTTTGGGTATGTTCCAAGGCATGGAATTGCTCAGCCAGACTCAAAAAGCCACATGTGGTATGATTCAGTTTATAGGACATATTCAGAATAAGCAAATCCATAGAAACGAAGGGCAGGATAGTGGTTGCCGGGGGTTGGGGGAAGAAGGCGGAGCGACCGCTTAATCGGTTTTCCTTGGGAGGGATGAAAATATTTTGGAATTAGATAGCGGTGATGGTTGTACAATATTGTGTATTGTGAATCTACTCAACAGCACTGAATTATATACTTTAAAGTGGTTAAAATGGTGAATTGTTATCTATTTATCTATCTGGCATTCATTTTTAAAATGAATTAACCAGAATGTCACTGTGTCACCCTCTGTGATCTGTTGTTAACGAGTCCCCAGGCAATTCCAAGTGGAGCATCAAGGACCTCTGTCTAAGAAACGCTGATGGAGGGCTAGGTCATCTTTTTTGTTCTGCAGGATTTTTCCATAGGATAGAGTTCGTCATTACTGAATCTGCCTCACATTAAGGAAAAACAAAAACAGAAATCAATGTAACAAAAATCTGACCTGCATCCCTTCAAATAAACCAGGATTTCAAAAAATGAGTCTAAAATTGCCAGAAGATAGAATAATAAGCTGGAAAAGCTCATAAAATATTCAGACCTTTCTGGACAACTTTTGGATAATTTCATACTCCAATCTGGCCTTTAAGACCATATTGCCAAGACTGACTTGACCAGGACAGTGGTGTTTAAAAACCACAGAAGCAGTTGTTTAAATGCATATTCTCTGACTTCAACTCTAGAGATTCAGATACTTCCGCAAGGTAGATCAAGGAAGGGAAGAAGTGGGGATCGGGAACCTGTATTTTTAACGAGCTCTTAAGAATATTCCGAGATGAGTTAGGTGTGAGAACCTCTGATCTAGACTGTTTCTGAATTGATTCCTTACACTCTGAGCCTTCCTTTTGCTTTGGTGTCTTTTCTTTACCTTCCATAGCATCTGACCAGTTCTGTAAGTGTTCTGTAAATGGAATTGCACTGGACCACAGTGGAACTCAGTGTCACCTTCACTTCCACCTAAACAGCAGCTCAGCAACCCCTGCCTACCGTCCCCGCCACCGTAGCATCCGGCTATTGATCCCTTTTAGCAGGTGCTCATTCCAACTGCCTTGCTTTGGTTAGCTGAAGGTACAGGGTGAGGGGTAGGGATGTATCCTTTGACCCTGTAAGCCACAGAGAGGTCAGGTTCCCTAGGCTGACTCTCCTCAGATTTCTTAGGGCAATTCTGATTTTAACTCCTCTTTATGTCTAAAATGAAAAGGTTTCATTGAAGCACCAACACAAGCTATCTCCTTGCTTCCTAAGTTATGCAAATGGGAAAGCAATGCAAGAGATGTTCCCCCAGGATCCTCTGGTGGGGCCATCTGGAATGACAAAGCAGCCCCTGCAACTTAGGGGTAACCATGAAGAACAGCAGGCTCTGTTTAAGCAAGGGCATAAGCACGATGTGAAATGAGGCGGTAGAATTTTGAAGAAAAGTGGCTCCTGCTCACTATAGTTATACCTAAATTTATTTGGGACCTTGATGGGGAAAGAAAGTGTTCATTTCAGGGTTCCTTGGGTTCTCGTAAGACCAGGACCTTACTAGTACATGACACTTTACCATAGTGAGACTTACCAGTGCACACTCATATATGGGTAATATGCATGTGTATAATATAAATATACACGGTATGACATATTGTATATCTATATTGGTATATACAAATGTATATTGGTAATGTGTGTGTGTATAAAACAAAACAAATATACATATGTACTATACAGACAGTATAGCCTAGGGGTCAGCATATGGGCTTGCTCTCAGAAAACCTGTGTTCAGGTTCTGACTGTTCCTCTTGCTAGCTGGACCTTTTTTCTTAACCTTGATCACTGTTAAAATGGAAACAATAATACTACCTATCTTGTGGGGATGTTGTGAGGATGAAATGAGATAACAGATCTGAAACTCTGCCGGCCACAGCATATACCAAATCCACAGTTAATTAGCCTTTGTTATTAAACCATTGTTTGGGTAGAAATCCTCAGATTTTGGATTTCTCAAGTACTCCTTTTCTACAGTCCAAAAGGCAGAATGTTATTTTTGCTTGTGATTCCATTATGTAATATCCCACGAATGTGAAATTTCAGCGGAGGAACAGGGCTGTGGAAATGGGCAGATATCTGCATCTGAAACTCTGAAGTCGTGTGGGGAGGTCCTCTCTCCTGAGCCCAGAGGCAGAAAGCTGCTCCCAAGAAATTATCTTTATGCCCCACAGTCCAAAGTCCCACATTAAACAAAATCTCAAGACAAGAAGGCAACGTGACGCTGGCCTCCATGTTTTGTTTTGACTTTTAATTTCAAAATAATGTCATTGTGTGGGGGCTTATGGTGTTTAACAACTGAAAGTTATATAGACAGAAAAGAATGCTCAGTGAGTAGAAAAGGAAAAAATCTTAACTTTTAAGAAAACTTGTTTAATCAAGAGATATTATACTTACCCTCAGGCCATCAATTTGAACCCTGTCACTGGTTGAAAATGGCTTCCCATAAACACAAACATAGTCCCCTACTCGTTACTGTGGACCTAGGGCATTGCTTACCTAACTGGGCCCAGCAGAATCACCTGGGGTACCTTTCAAAGACACCATCCCATGGGCAGATCACTTGAGGTCAGGAGTTCAAGACCAGCCTGGTCAACATGGTGAAACCCCATCTCTACCAAAAAATTAGCTGGGTGTGCTGGCATGCGCTGTAGTCCCAGTTACTTAAGAGGCCGAGGCATGAGAATTGCTTGAACCCAGGAGGTGGAGGTTGCAGTGAGCCAAGATCATGCCACTGCACTCCAGAATGGGCGACAGAATGAGACTCCATCACAAAAAATAAAAAAACAAAGATGCCATTTCAGAACCCCACCCATGATCTTCAGAATCAGATTTTATAGGTGTAGGCCCAGGAATGGCACTGGTAACAGGCTTCCTGGTTGAATTGAAGCACACTAACGTGAGAGCCACTGGCTGGTGTGTACCTTGGCTGGAAACTGGTATTAGAGTCTGATTCTTCCCTAAGGTCCTACATGCATTATTCACTTAGAATAGTCACCTTATGACACTGTTTTGGTTCCATATCTCTGCAAAGGTAGTTTTAAACCAAGACATGCCCTATAGACTAATTTGTAATCCCATTCCAGTTTATTTTAGGAATTGGCCTGGGTCTAGGCTACCACCTTCATCATGGGCTTGGGAAGACCAAATGCTCTCTGTTGAGAAAGGAGCTCATGGTCTTCCAAGGCCAGCAGAATTCACAACTCCTAATGTAAAAGTGTGACTGTGTGAGTCTTGCAATTGTTTTGGAAATAGAAACAACTGCTTCATATCAATATTTACATTGTTTCGCTCCCTTCCTGAACTAGTTATTGAAAGGTTGATTGTGCCTCAGCTTCCTTATCCATAAAGTGAAGTCATCAAGAGCATTAAATGAATTTAACACAAACACTCAGTAGATATTAGCTGAGCGGATGATGGTAATGATGTTGACGAAGCAGCTGTTTCCACATCAGGGCTATTTGGATTGCTTTCCACTGGAGAACCTGCTTTTATTGCTCCCTATCCTCAGCCAGGCATTATTTAGATGTAGAAGAAAATCTGAACTGGAGGATAAAGAGCTAAAAAAAAAAAAAAAAAAGAGAGCTTTCATTTTTTTCTTTTTAAAAAAGTAATTCTTAGCAATTGGTGGTGAAATGTGAATTCATCATCTTGATAGAACAGTGTTGCCACCCTTCCTTCCGAGGATCTTAGGGTTGAGTCAGAAGGTGTCACATCAAGCAGATTTGTGGAACAGTTTAGGCATGGTGACAGTGTTCCTACAGCCTACACAGGTTTCCTGGAGTCTGTAATTTAAGCCACTTGATAGGATGGAGTTCTGTTATTTAAAAATGGTGCTGTTCTTACACTCAGCAGACATTATATTCTTCCTTGAGATAATATT